AAAAATTCCGAATCAATTGAATCGTTCGTGTAACGATCTACAAACTCGGGGCATACTCGGGACGGTCCTACCTGTTGTTTTAAACACCGATAAAAACAAACCAACATGCAATACGTATATAATATACAGTATACATTATTTTTCAGAAAGTGATCTGCACCTTTAGTGCTTAAAATCGACCAATCAAAGCACATTCTAAACACATTCTACAAATATCACCACTTCTGCACTTTGTGCTTCAAAACAAACTTTTTAGAAAATTGAGTTACTGATAATTTTTTTTTGTATGGATAATACAAAAAGAGGCAGTGCTAGTCGAGACCCAACAATATAGGAAAAATTGAAAGCGCTAATTGCCGGGTAAAGAGTAATTGTCACACAATGTTTTGGTCATATGAGTAGAGAATAGTAAGAATATAAAGGGATAAATTGTTTTTACGCTAACGTGAGCAAATATGTTACAGGAGTAACCACATAACCTTGCATGTAGGTTTCACCGTTTGCAACAAGAACAATAAGAGTTCTTTTTATGAACCTCATTATCACGATTACGAATCACCGAAACACACGGAGATTAATTAGATAAATATGGTAAATTTTAATTTGTTTATCGTAAGACCCGCTACACAGCCTTTTCACCTATAAAGGAAATTTTAGTGTTGTGTTGTTTTACATTAGTGTATAAGGTTGAAAGATTGACATCACAGCCAATAACATCATCCAAGAAGGCTGGTTAAAAGATTAAAATAGTAGCCTACTCTAAAAATAAATCATAAATCATTTATTGATATCACCATGATTAAATGCACTATAACATTTAAAGTTATGTGACTACCAAGCCCAATTGTGATTTGCGCCACTTTGACAGTTTAACGATCGATTGCATTTATCTATATATATTAACAAACAAGCCTCATTAAAATCTATTTATATTATCTTTTACCTTTTAAGGGTTGTCTGATTTAACGTTAACGTCACTACATTCAACACATGTACGTATGTACATACATATACTAAAGATAATGACAATACTGATTTCTTTAATGTTAATCTTACATAAAAAAAAATAAGAATAGATATCTACGCTAACTCTAGTTACCTACCTTAGATCTTGTGGTTCAAACCTAGGTTCCTAAATTCCTAAATTCTTCCTAAATTCCTAAATTCTTCCTAAGTTTCTAAGTTCCTAAGTTCCTAAGTTCCTAAATATTACGCTTTATAGTAAACCTCCTTTTTAAACTTTATTGTAAACTTTTATTGTAAACCTATTGTAAACTTTATTGTAAACTTCATTGTACAAACTATTTTTGTTATATATCGCGCTGCTATAATTGAATTAATTGAACTTTGAGTCCTTTTGAGAGTTATTAAACCTTGTATTGCATTCTATTGCATTCTATCGCTATTATTGATTACAGAATTTAAATTATCAGATTACAATAATATATATAATTATTAACATGCAGGGTACCAATGTAGTATTTGATCATTATAAATATTATAAATTTATAATAAAATTATAAAATTAGATTATTTGAACTAATTTTAAAAAAAAAGTAATAATAATAGATTGTACAGTGCAAATAAGATTTGAGCTTCAAAAAAATAATCATGTAATAGACGTAATGGACGATCAATAAAACATTAATAACATTAATAACGTTAAAAATAATTCTAAATTAACGATCGACAAGTTACACGTGGTCGCTGAGTCTAGACGCGTGGAGGTTTTTTTGATTATTGTGATCTTCCACAAATACTGAAAATACTGAAAATACTGAAAATACTGAAATATTATTTACGCATTATGATCTCAAAGTTTGATGTGTTTGATGTGTTTGATGCTGTTTTGTTATGATTAATGTACTATTAATGTACGTGGCTTATCTCGGATAAACATCAGTAGGATGAATCTAATTGGTCGTATCATGTGGCAGATCATGTGGCAGTGTTGAGGCTTGCTTTATCATGACGGACGCACGTATGTACTTACATACACACATACGTACGTACCGTACGTATATATACGTAATTCTTTGAAACTAAATCTACATTGTCACATTTGACGCACCTTAATTAACTGGACATAAATTCTTTCATAGTTTATTCGAGCATGCACTTGACTACTTGAGAAGAACAAAAAAAAATGTTATAAAGACGCTTTATTATCTAAATGTTTGCTTAATCAGATTTGTGACCTACATCGTACGTACGATTTTTTTAGTATATATCATATAATGTATCATGTATATATGCTATAAATACATTTCACTAAAATTTTAATTTATATTACATATACTTATTTATATTAGTTTATCACTCTTTATTTGTACAATATAAATAGAGTGCACCCTCCTTTATTAAATTTTTGCATAATCGACGTGGCCTAATTCTATCTTTTTCAAAAAAAAAAAAAAAGAAATTATATTGAAATTATATCGGAAATTATATCGAATTTATATCGAATTTATATTGAAATTATATTGATAACAAATATATTTGATACCGTTTTCCCTCGTCTGTTAATTTATCCATGAAAAAATTCATGCGTTTCATTTCGCCAAACTCTACTTCCCCAGCCAGTGACTCTGATAAAAAGGGCCAAAAACATGGCATGTTTCGTCGTGCAAATTCTGGTTCTGCTTTAATGGAATCAAAACAAAAGAAAAAATCTTGGAGATCCCATCATTCTTTAAATCCTTCCCCAAAGAATGATTCAATAGGCGCTGGCGCTTTATACTTGGATACTGATGTTAATAACGATAATAGTGATCAACAATTTACTCGTTCACCAGCCGAAGGTTTTCTAAATGTTCCTGGATTAGATAAATCTTCTTCACTACCCCACGAAACTATTTCAAAAGATATTCCTCCTCAATCTCCGACTACTCGTTACAATGAAGCTGATGAATTCATTCAGAAAGCTATACAGTATCATGAAGCTAATGAATTAGAAAAAGCTACATATTATTTTAAATTGGCCGCTGAAAAAGATAGTCCTTTAGGCTTGTTTTTATTTGGTATTGCTCTAAGGCATGGCTGGGTATGTTTAATTATTTTTATCTTATTTTATTCTTGTTCTCTTTTTTATTCATCTTTTTTATTATTTTTACAAAATAGGGCTGTAATCCAAATCCAAAACTTGCTGTACGGTACTTACAAAAAGCCGCTGAATCCGCTGTTACTGATCTTCATGCTTCAATGGCTGCAAATCCAAGCTTCGCCCGCCATGAATTAGTATTAGCAATTTATGAACTTGGTAATTAAAAACATTAATCATCTTTCTACTTTCATATATATATTTTTTTTTAAAAAAAAAAAAAAAATAATAACATTTTTATTTCTTATTTTTTTTATTATTATTTAGGTATATGTTTCCGTCATGGCTGGGGTGTACCAAAAAATAAAAAAACTGCTGTATATTATTTTGAAATAGCAGCAAATCTTGGTGACCCTGATGCACAAAATGAACTAGGATTTTGTCTTGAACGTGGAGAAGGTGTCAAAAGGGTATGTTTATTTATTCATTATAATCTTAATACTTTAAAATATACTTTTAAATAATTAATCATATATTAATCTCGATAATTCTTACTATGTTATAGGATTTGAAAAAAGCTGCTAAATATTTTCGAATGGCTGCTTCACAAGGTGCTGGAATATTGGGAAATTCATGGATATATAAGAAAAAATATGATGAAGACGAAAATTAATCATAACCTAATTAAATAAGCTAGAAATCAATAATACTCAAAAAAAATATATATATACATATATATACATATCACTTTTTTTTTTTTTAATTCCTTTATTGGAATACATGAGAAATTCAACAATATAAATTCAACATATTTAAAGATTTATTGTAAATAGTTTATATAGTATTATTCACTTTCTCTTTATTTTTGTACTGTACCATTATTTGTAGTATAAAATGGGGATTGGAAAATATTAATAATGTTTTGTAATATTTATTCTATCATTACCGATATCATTCATTCGATATCATTCATTATAATACATCCTACACAAGAAAAATAAAAAAACAATTATATAATATGCAATCTTTTTAAAATCTATAATATTTGAAAATATAATTGAAAATGTAATTGAAAATGTAATTGAAAATGTAAAATTTGATTGAAAATATTATTGGAAAAATACTGTATAATTGAAATTTCCAGGTTGACATTTTCTTAAAATTAATTCAAATCTTTTTGATATTTTTACACTAATTACTATTAGACATAAAACATACTTCTGCTGTTTATTAAGAAAAACACGTGTAATATTGTATGATTTGCATTATTTTGTAACAGCTACGTACGTATTAATGTCTTTTATTAATATAAAATCTCAAAAACTAAATCTATTTTTTTAAATAACGATGAGCGATAAGCGAGATCGTCACTTTAAAGTTTAGTCTTATAAATCAGCAAACCATTCAGCGAAACGTTCAGGGATTAAGGATTAAAACGGTTTTAAACAAGTATAATATTTCAAGCAATAATGATTATGTACATTTATTAAAAAAATTAATTATTATGTGTTAAAAAAAATTTATATACTAGAAAAAGTCAAATACATTATCATTGCATATCTAAAGGTCTGAAAAAATTATTAAAAAAATTATTATAATAAGAAACTTCTAATACTGTAATAAAAATAAGTGACACATATATGAAACAGTTTATATTAAAATTTTTGATTTTGTTTATATCGAATTCTAAACCTTTCTATAACTGGATTTTATTCATATATATAATTTTATACTTATTTGTTGTATTTGTTACATAAATTTCTATTCAATTCCATATCGATATCGAAACGTATTAAAAATTTTTTACGTACGTATCTAGAAAATCTGAAACAAAATTTTATCATGCATTGCATTAGCATTTAGCGTTAGCTCCCTTTAAGTTTTTTTTATTAAAAGGAAATATTGAATGTAGATCCGGTGTACCTTGAAAGCAATATTAACAAAAACAAATTTCCTCGCGAAATTTTTAGTATAGATTATATCATATCTTTTGACCCTAATTCTATCCCTAATGTTAAAATCCTTTATTGTTCAAAGATAAACAAATAAATCAGTGTTTATTCTGACACGTTTTCCTATCATTTGCAGTAATTGGATCTCACCTATAAATTTTTGTTTAAATAAATAATTTTGTAAAACTGCCTCTTTTGGTTATGAGAACTCCAGTTATCTTAGTAATAAACTTCTAAGGATTAAGTTACGTATTGTTATGGTTAAATACTTTTATAAATTCTTAAATAAGAAATGGTTAAGAATCTGTTTTGGTGATCAAGTCCTATCGTTTTTTTTTAGCATGATCAGATGTAACTATTATCTGAATGATAGGGTTCTCTGAGTACAGAAAAATATTTGGCCTATTTGGTTATGCTCCTTTATTCTGCTTGGGGTATGCTCCCATAAGATAGATCAGGTGTTGTTACACTTTTATTTTTTCGAATGATGTACAAATAAAATAAGAAAAGGCTGATTTCGTAATCACCTCTCTATACTAATATACCAAACTGGTTCAAATATTTTGGCTACGTGCGTACGTACGTACGTACGTACGTAATCAGAATGTGTTCATAAATAATGGTTACTCCTTGTACCAAACGTGTACTGAAAATTTTGAAAATTTGGAGATTTGGTATAACAAATTAACCAATAATATCTCATGCACGTGATTAATCGGCATTTCTATTTTTAGGGACGGGCACCTTACGGAATTGCCCGATTTTAATTAACAGTTAATGTTAGGGTTAGGGTTAGACTTAGGATTAGTGATTGTACTCGGTCAAAAAACACTATATACCCGGTTAACCAGCGGATGAACCCATAAGTTACTCAGATATACCTGGGTATAATATTTGCACTAAATCAATTTAAAAATTTTTATACATAATAAATCTTATGTTTAGCTTCATAATAAATCATGTTTATTTTTTTATTTTTTTTGTATTTTAAAGCAATCAATTTCTTATCTGCTTTAGTACTATAATTATATGTACTACAATACATTTTGTAAAGAGTAGAACTAATTCCAATTTTGTCTTATTATTATAGTTTTTTAATATATATATATTTTTTTACTATTACAGTGAGATCTCTCTAAATGCATCTTCTATAAATACACAATCTCTCTAAATGCACACTTGAGTTCCGGCCCAAAGATATCATAACCTTCATAAATACACTTTTGCTTATTGTTTTCTAAGTGCATATTGTTAAAGTTTGGTTTCTGGAGAATGCATTTAGAGAGGTCTAACTGTATATTAAACACCTTAATACCATATGCCACTGCTTACAGTATCCTTCAAAAATAATACCTCATGATTAAGATCCGGGTATTACGTATTCACCATCTTACTAGCTTGTTTCTTGAATAAGATCCGGGGATACAACTATATATATCGATATTGATTTGTTACTTTTAATACTATATGATAACAGTAGTGCTTGTAAAAACTTGATAATCAAGTGCTTGAGCATCTAATAGTAACACAAATTGGATTGTAAATCTTTTGTAAATCTAACGAATTTCTATGTAGTAATTTTTGCATAACATACGTATATACATTATGTTATCAGGTTATGCAAATTCGTTAGATTTACTAAAAGATTTAAGATCTGATTTGCACTATCATTAACTTGATGATCAAGTTTTTTACTTGATTTTGTTGAGCACTTCATCCCCCAAATATAGTACCCGGTTCTTTACACAGTATCCACGGGTACTCTTCAACTTTAAAATAGAGTTCTTGAATAAAACCGAGATTATAGATCAGTATGGTATGGATAAGCAGATCAGTATGGATGGATGGTAAGCAGATCAGTATGGTATGGGTAAGTAGACCAGTATGGTATGGGTAAGCGGATCAGTATGGACGGGCCAAAATTAAGCACCTATACCATACTGATTAGCTATAATTCATAACCCTAACGCTAATGTATATAACACCGGATCAGTATGGTATGGTTTTTAATTTTGGCCCGTACTATACTGATCTGCGAAATATCTAATAAGATCCTGGGTACTGTAAGCAGTGATATACGGTATATGTAAGGCATTTTAAAGGTTATTAAACAGGTCTCTCTTTTTTTTTAAAGCTACCTTATATAGAGATCATAAGAATTATTATAATCATCATTTTGATCTCTATATAAAAGTTATTCTAGAAAAATCATTTCTAAAAAAAAAAAAACATGTTTAGTGATTTTTAAAAACACCCAATGTAATAATACGATCTAATTAAAATCATATTATTATTAGTATATAGTGTAAATAGGGTATTTTAATATAGGCTACCTTCTCGTGATTGGCCAATTTTTTTCAATTGAATTTATACAGTTTAAAGTACTTTTACCCCCTAACATAGTAAATTTTTTTTTTT